CAGCAAGCAGGTGAGTTTGTTGTGCAGGAGGCCTTATTTAGGATGTTTTGTTAACATGGAAAAGGAATGAATGCAAGAGTTTGAAGGGGCAGGCAACAAAACAAGAAAATGAATTATGTGAATGAAGCAGGAATCAACAAAGGTTAGAAAGAACCGACATACACATACAAGATGTATCTATAAAAGCAAAAGGATAATATTTGTTTGTAGATGTGTAGAAACATTTTCTACTTCTGAAATCTTACATCTCAGGAGATAAAGTAATTATCCCACAGTAAAATCCACTAGGACATTCACTGTGTGACAAGCAGCCTGCTTTCTTACCTTTCTGACCACAGAAATCAAGCAAAGGGAGGCTATACTAAACGCTTGATACAGTAATATTAAACTTTAACTGAATATGATACTTCTTATATCTTTAATTATATATCGTATTACTTCTGTGCTTCATAGCAATGGAGGACTATTTTGCATACTTGGAACAAAGTTATCATAAAATAACACATGTGGATCAAGATAACATCTTGCAAGCAGGTAAACTCAACTTGCAACACAGTAAAATTAATGTTTTATGTTCATTTCTTTTTTTTTAAGCAATATATATTTTACATCCCTGATAAGCCTTTAAACCAGTAAATAAAAACTGGTGATTATAAGAGGAACATTGCTATTTTATTAATTTCTAAGCTTACTTAGTTGATTCTCTTAGAACTTCTAGAACTACTACCTAAAATGTCAGCTCACCTAACAACAAGGAATTTACCTCATTTTTTTTTTCCAGTTAGTGCACATTTTCTTCCTTTAATTTGTTTAGTTTCTTTGGTTAATTCTGCGCAATACTACTCATGCATGTAAGCAACTTAAATGAAACATGTGTCCTTGATCTATTAAATAGTAAATATTTAAACGTTATACTGTCATTTAAATTGAGATATATTCTAATTTTGTCTGCTTTCCCTGTCACATAGTTATTAATTTATTAACAACCAATTTCATTATTTAGTGTCAAAAGAATTAACAGAAAGTTGACTAGCAAGAACAAACCTAGCTGTGTAAGACAGGTCAATGCCCCTGTGACTAGGTAAGGAAGCTTAGGAAATGGTGGCCTAATCTGTTGTCTACAGATTATGAGATTTCTTGGAAGGTACCGGTTCTCTGAATGTCACGAATGAAGTCTTGAGAGTCATGAAAAGTTACACACTCATCACACTCGGGAATCAAAGTGGGTCAAGCCCTGTGCAATTTGAGAGCGAACCTTTGGCTGTGTGCTTTCTACATCTACATCACTGTGGCCAATCTCCGGCCTAGGAGTGGGTCAACCCCAACACTTCTCTGAGATCAGGCGGTATATTCATCTTATCTAGACAGCTGAGCAAAAAGAAAAGGCATAATTTGACCACTAGGACACATCCAAGGAAGCTGAGTATTGGCAAAGCTGGCTTCAGTACTTGGAAATACTTGGAAATATGAAAAGATGTTTGCTAGATGACGATATTTAACACTTGAGACACTTCTTCAGGCTCTGAAACTCATGGTACCAAAGCAAACTGGGACTGGATTCCTCCACTCCACTTTGATTCTCATTCACTTGAGTTATTCTTCATTTAATTACTAAGACTTTGCTCCATCCTCTAAAGCGTCTGTTACAATTTTACAAAGGTCTTTGTTTTCCTTAGCATTTGGAAATATTAGTGTTGATGGCTTTTTTTTTCCTTCGTAGATAATAGCTCCTCTATTTTTTTTTTTTTTTAATTTCTGGTTTGATGGTTTTGTTAACTTCTCAGTGTTGTGTTTCGCACTGGAAGTTTTCTCCGAGTATCTGGGTATCTATTGTCTGCTTATGTTATTTGAGTCTGAAGTAGAGATCATCTTTAGAGTATCCTGAAGGATCTTCTTTAGAGATCCTGAGCTCACACAGTCATTGAAGCTCACTGTCCAGAATAAGGAAATTTCAGTGATTTCAAGTTTTCTCCTTTGGGCTGATCAGACTGCTCACTGAAAACTTTCCAAATCACCAGGATAAAGGTCAAAGAACAAATGCCAGTAGATAAAACAGGCTGGGCTATAATATTTTGAGATACAGTAGGAGAAACGGGCTATCAACATGTGCCACATGGCTTCAGGCTGTGCCTGGAAAACCCAACTGCCCTTTGTTGGGCCAGCTACACCTTCAATCTGAAACCCCATTTTCCTCCAACCTGAAGAAGGAAAGAATGCCAGCCACTGAGAAACAGGAGCCTGGGGATAGATAACTCACTGGTACTGTTCCCTTATTTTAGCTGCTGTTCTTTTCTTGCCTCTGGGAGGTTATCAGCAGGCATATCTAAATCTTCAGCTTGTTGAGAACTCTACGGTAGAAATAAAATCAAGGCTTGGATATCTAAGATGCCAGCTCAGGATTTAGTTTCTATGTCTGTTATATCAGTTTCACTTCATCAAGATGCCATTATACCTCTAAAAAATGCTGCACTATTTCTTCTCTTCCATGCATGTTTTTTTGGGGATTTATTATGAAAGTACATCCACAGAGCATTTAAAAAAAAAAAAAAAAAAAAAAAAAGGAAGTTTTGATAGGGAGCAGACTTAGAGTTGGTATGCAATCCTCCATCCATAGCTGAATCACCTAAGGGGGTTTTGTTTGATAAAAGTGCCTCTTAAAAGTCTACAAAGCTAGGGTCTATTTCCTCCTTGGATGAATTCTCCTTGAATTAATCCTACCTGTTGGGGTGCAGTTTGCTTTCAGGCCCAGCTGAGTCCTGAGTTCTGTTTCACCTACGTGAAACAGATGTTTACATGACTGCTTATAACTGAACTGGGACTGTTTCCTTTCTGTGCACTTGCTCTTGGGTGATGATTAAAAGGCTACAATGGCTTTGCTAGACTATTGTAGGAAATAATATGTTTGAAATTTGACATATCTGTTATAAACTGTACGTCTCCCTTGGACTGGCCTCTGTATAAGGAGAAGAGAGTGTTGTACTTCTAGTGGCTTCTGTGTTGTTAGCTATTTCCACTTCGACTTTTTTATTTTGTATAATATATTATCTCTCATTTTACTAGTCTTATAACAAACAGCTTGCGATTTTATATTGTTTTCAAATAGTATATTTCATGTTTGTGGTTTCTACAGTTTTCTGCTAGCTGGCTAGTCTCAATTCCACTCTCTTGCTTTTCACATGCAGCAGATAATGATTTTCTTCCTTAATAATGTTTCTTTCTTTGCATGTGTGTGTGTGTGTGTGTGTGTGTTGTCTTCTTGCGTTGTTGTTCTTGGGATTTCAAATGTGAATACTCAATTATCTTTTATTGTCTTTCTTTTGTTCGTTAAGCATATCGACAGTTATACAAATTTTCCCCAGGGCTATTTGAACAACTTCTAGACACAACCGTTGCTTTCAACATCAAAACAAAAACCAATCTAAAATGGCAATATTAAAAGCTCCTCTCGATCCTACGAACACAGACTGCACCTCTTTTGGGATGTCAGGAAACGTGATTCCTAGTTTCAAAGTTAATCACAAAGCTTCCATAATCAAATACTATGGTAACAGCGGAAAAGGAGATGCCCAAGCCAATGAAATGGAGGCCAAAGCTAAATTCATCATGACCTTTGATAAGAATGTCAAGGCAGAATGGGGGAACTAGATAGCCACATGAATAAAAATATAATTGGACCTTAATATCATCTACAAAAATCAATTTAAATAAAAGTTCTGAAAAAAAAAAAAA